ATTGAAGGTTAATTGAGAAGAAATTTCAATTAGAATCTCAACACTGAGATATATAATTGAATCGGTAAGGTTGAGAGGAAAGAGACTCTGGAAAGAAGGATTTGAAACGTTTTACCGTTAAATGGACTTGACTTCCTTGGTGAGACTCTTCCACTGGAGACGTGATCTTACATTCCCATCCTCATCGTGGGCTCCATGTAAACGAAAGCCGATAATTGGGATATGAATTCACTGGTTGAAGTAGTTATTTTCTTGTTTATTTACTTGCTATTACACTTAGACAAATTGTTTAACATATATAATTCAATTACAATGTAATGGGAAGAGAGAGAGAGAGAGAGAGAGAAAGAGAGAAAGAGAAGGTAAGTCTCAACACTGAGACTATTCCGTTCTCTTAAAGGGTTAGTTAGGAACTGATGATGATTCTCCTTTCTCTCGGGTTTTCTTATATACCCGAGGAGAAAGGAGAGAAAGGAATAGGAAGAAAGAAATAGAAAGAGTGATGAGGATGATAACTTTTATGGTTATCATAAAAGACTCAGCAAATAATCTAAAATTTCAATCTTTTTTATAATGTCACCAGAGTAATTAACCTTTTGGTTAATTACTCTGTTTTTCTTTTACAGTAGCATTTTGTGGTATCGTCTTACGTAATTTGTATTAAGCGAAAGATAACTGATTTTAATTATGCATTTTCTAAACAGTAAATAGGGGGAAAAATAAAATTATTTGTTATTAAAATATCATTAAAATGAATAATTAACTGAAGATGATGATGGTGATGGTGATGAGGGTGATGATGTTGATGGAAGTGATGAAGGTGTTAATGAGGAAGAGGGTAAATTAGATATAAATTTGATCCTTATTTTTGTGTTAATTTGGTATCAATATTCCTTTTATATCTTTATTGGTTTTAGGTATTTCAGGATTATGCTCTTTCATTTCAACTTCTTCATTGATGAAATCTGATTGAGTTAATCTAGGTCTTGTATAGGGCAAACGAAATTGAATTGTCTTGCAAAGACGAATTAAGAGATAGATCAAAATAAATGAAATTAAGATTAATGAGAAAATCATCCACTTAGAATGACCATCTTGAATTTGTTGAATTGATTTAAACTTAGTAATTTCCAATTTGGGCAATAAATCTGAACAATCTATCCCAGCGAAAACTTGTTGATAAATCCAAACATAGTGATTTGGGTCAATGATATTTGACTTGACACATTTTAGCATTAGCATTTAAACATAAGCTTTGGATATTGAAGGAGACGGTATTCTATTCAATTAATTTATCTTAACGTGCAAAGCAAAGCTCATAGAAACCTCAAAACTTGTCAGCAGTATGAATGAATATTCTTCGTTGTTGAATCACCTTCAGATGACCTTGAAACGCGTTATTTCACCAATGAACGAATGACCTTGATCCTTTGATATGACAATGGAGTATCGCTCAAACTCATATCAAGCAAGTCTCGAGTCTCTTTGACTCTTACAATGTTTGTTAGTTGCTGATAAAATCGCAAAAAAAACATCGGCGAAAATAGCTGAATAGCTCTGTAGTTTTTGAAGGATTTTTCACTATAACTCAAGGATGACGTGATTGTTAAATAAGATATTTGGCAATAAAATTAATACAATTCAATCTTGATTAATGCAATATTAATAAATTCAAAATGTGGTCTCTAAAAAATACTTTTAATTCATCTTTTCGGTTGGTTTCAAGTTGTAATCCCAGTCTTTTAATTGAATCGTAATATGATAAGAAGCACGATACATTGCATGTAAATCCACATGGTTATAACGAGCAACAGAAAGTATCATCGTTTATATGTATTGTTTTATATGAGGAGTACTATGAAAAAAGAAAAAGAAAAAAAGATGTTAATAAAATAAAGATAAAAAGATTAGAAAAAAACGCGCCATTTCAAAGCTTTAATATACGTTGAAGATAGATAAGAGAATGGTAATAGCAAAGTGAAGGAAAACGATAATGCACTCTTTTCTTTATTTAATTTCATCATCTAATCTTTATTACCAATCTTTGTCCGGAGCATATAAATTATATACATTTAAACTCTTTTTAAGACAAACTTTTAATACTATCCTAAGGAAATAATTAAGGAATTATAAAAAAAGGAAAGGAAAAGATCAATTTCAAATCTTGATACAATTAAAATTAATCATGATTATAGCCTGAGGACCAATTTAAGAATTCAGAATACTATAGATAATCTTGTGTACTTAAAGTAATAATTCATTGATAAATTCAAAGATAAAATTGGTTAACTTAGTGGCTTTAAATAAGCATCAACCCTACACCACGTTGAGGTGTTCGCCTTGTAAGACATCTGAAAAGAAAAGAAGAAAAAAATGATGAATAAATAATAATAATGATGATATTGAAAGTAATTGAGCACAACGTTTAATGATATAAAATTGGTGAAAATATAACAGATAAAAAGAAATAAAGAGAAAACAAATTGAATCAGCAAAAAGCATCAAAGTAACTAAAATAAGTAGAAAATCGAAACGAGAAAATAATGAAGAGAATACAAATAAAATGGGTACAAAATAAAAAGAATAAAAATAAAATGAGTACAGATAAAAGAATAAAAATAAAAAATTGCAAATTTTCACCAATATTAGTAAGCCTATGACATGGTTATTGGTTAGGATTAATGAATCTAGCGTTTTTAAATAACATATTTTTTGTACAATACTTTTTAAATTCATTCACAATAGAATGTGGAATTTTCGCGGCTAAGGTATGAATTGATCCAAAATAGCAAATCTTGCCCATGGGTCTCGTCGTGGTACATTATTAACTTGGTTGGCACTTAGATTGTCTATTTGTATCCTTTTTTGACAGAAACTTCTGAATTGCTTTGCAGCATTCTTGTTTCCTCTAAGATGTCTGTATATATTTATTCCTTTAGTGTAAAAGGCTCCACAATATTTTCGTTACAAAACAAACGGATGCTTATTTCAATAATCCCCTTCATAGTCAGCAACTTTTTTATGTGTAATGTATTGTTCTTTTTCTTCTTGCTGTAGAGTGGCTCAGAAGCGGAGATTTTATAACTACTTTGGTAATTATTAAGATGATACAAAATTGAGGAGAGGTTTTCTCCTCTTCAAAATAAAATGGCTGATTTTCAGTCATTATGAGGACATGGAAAAATAAATAAAAGTTTTACATAGTAATAGTGAAAGTACACAAGATAGCGCAGTCATACACCCCATGCGACACATCAATAAATAGATAATTTTCGATGATTTAATCAGACCAACTAGTATCATCATGACACATCATTCGAAAGGTAATTTAATGGAGAATTTTTTGTTTGATTGATTATTAATTTTAATTGATAGATTATGGTTCATCATTATCATCACCACTAGATGCTGAAGATCCAGCTTGAGGTAAAGGATTAACTGGGTCATTAGTTGAAGACACTGTGCCATTGTGAACTTCGCCATCTGAACCATTTTGTCTTAACGGGACTAACCTTTGCCCATTAGCTGCGTTCAAGAATAATCGTCTTTTGGCCATAGTGTCCTGTTCAAATCAATAGAATAACATAGCACATGTTTCAACGATCAATGATCTGGCCGCTTCCCGCTGATCTATTGAAACCATTAAAATTAAACGATAAAATACTGAGGCAATACGGGCAGCGACAAATGGTGATAAATTGATGCGTGACATTTTTGAACTAGATAAAAGATTATTCACAAAGGTCAAATAACGGTAAATAAAACAGAACGATGTAAATTTTTCAAACTTTCTGACTCCACCCACCTGCGTTTAGAGTGCGCATTGAATCTGCCAACATGTCAGTTTTTGTATTCGTTATATACCGGTACTGGTTTGGGTCAAAAACATTTGGAACAATAGAATGAAGAAAACCCACTGATAATATGCATGATAAATCTTTTTCTTCCCCTCGGATGTTTCGTAAACACTAGGATCAGGAACAATATCGTCAACCTTATCAGACCATGATTCGTCAATTAAGAAAGTAGCAATAATCCATCAGAAAGTACCGAGTAAGTTAGCAGGTATGCCTTCAGTAGTAATACAATCGGATCACCAATATACTGACGAGTAGATACAACTAAAATAGATACAATGCACTAGTAATGTAATCTGAAGATAAAATTAACCCTAATACATTGTCGAGGTTTGACAACACTCGATAAAATATCAAATAGATGGTCCATACGAAACAATCAAGAAAACAATAAAGATAAACAATAAGAAACCTCCGACAGTTTTCACCTTGACGTTGAAATGCGTTATTTTACCAGTGACCTGAATGACCTTGATCTTTGATATCACAATTGAATATCGTTCAAACTCATACCATTCAAGTCTAGAGTCTCTTGACTCTTAGTTGCTGAGAAGATCTCAAAAAACCTCGCCAAAAATAGCTGAATAGCCTTGCATAAGAGATCGTATTCTGGATTCCACGTGAATGATAACCCGATAATCAAAACGCGTTTTAATTGAACTGCGCCAAGACACCCGAGCTTCTTCAGGCCAATTATTCCAACTTACTAAATTAGCAGTCCGGTTGAACAAACTTAAGGATCTTTATCATCCTCTTGAGAGACAGGGAACTTTTTCCACTCTAATAAATGAATCTCATGAAAACTAAGATTATAAAATTAGTGAACCCCTCTTCTTCACTTAAAGCACCATGGGATGTATATGTCATCCCATGATAATCTCAATACATATATACATTTTCCTTCACTCTTGGCTCGAAAACATAAAGTTGTAAATTGGTGTTCATTTGTTACAAGAGATGGAGCTAAATGATTCGCTAGTGTAAAATTCATTACACTATATTATTATTCTCATGAAACGAATTAAATACAGAAAAATATAAAAATGAGCAAATTTTTTATAAAATTTTTGGTTATTATTGCTATCTCTTTACAATCGTTTAATTTTAATATAAAATAAATTGAAAATAATAGTTGATGATAGGTCAAAACAGTATCAATGTATAATTTTTGAGTTGTTGATCGACAAAATGTGTATATGGTCGTTGGGTCAAGCACTTTGGATTGTTAATTTGAGCTAAAATGTAAATTGTCTGTCGAGAGCACAACATAATAGTAATTATGAACAGTGATAGTAATTCATCAAACAGGCGTTGAAAAAGTATATTCATCATCATTTCAGAGTATTCCTTTTGTATCTATTAATAAATGAAATAAAAGTTAAATCAAGTCCATCGAATCCGAACCTTAAAAACCGAAAATTTCGCCATTCGAACATATTTACCGCTCTTTTTGCAGGATAATTTGGTTCTAATTTCAACTTTGATATAGCTTCCAATGTTCTATTAAGACTTTCGTCAAATGGTATGTATTGTACAATGCACTGGACAGTAAAATAAAATGAAGAAAGAGTTAGTTGTAAGTTAGAAAAATGCGAACCTGAGCATGAAAAGTTTGAAAATTGGACATTTACCTTGTTGGCCTCATCTGTGGCAGATATTTGATAATCACTGTTCAATGACATTGATTCATCAACATGATCGCCTTTGATCACCGTTATATCATTGAATTCATTTGGATAATTAGCTGTTAAAATTTCACCTTTAACATTTGAATTGTTGATATTATTGAGTGAGGTGAACGTTAATGCATTTTCATTGAATTTCTTATCGTATCTACAATTGATTGTTTTGTGATTGTTTATCATATTATTACTTGTGTAATGTTTTGATGAACAAAATGTTCACCTTAATATTATCACTAACTATTGTATTCGTAGTTGCATCGATGTTTGGCTCTTCCGAACTGACCGATCCAACTGAAAAATTAGGGTCTCGTAAATTAGAGGATTGAGTCGATATGGTGAATTTATTGTAACGAGTTGAATTAATAACATCGGGTCCTTGATTGTCGAGCTTTTAGTTGGTCTGAAACATGAAAATAGTTGAGAAATATCAATAAGTCAATACCTATTCTTAAATTGAGAAAGCACAAAGTTTCTTACTCAATAGTTTTAAGCTTCTTTTTAGGGTCAACTTTATCTTCATGATTACGAATTCTTATTATCAGTATAATAATAATGGCCACCAAGGTAATTGTTAAGATGAGCGCTGAGAACACGACAAGATAGGGATCCAATTTTTTCTCAGTTAAATTATCGGCTGTTCCTAAAGATAAATAAGATAAATTGTTTAGCTAAATTAGTACAAAATTGAAAGGTTTAAAATATATTTCGATAATTTGGTTAATGAATTTTTACCAAGTTTGTGCTTTTGAATGGGAAGCGTTTGAGCAACAAGTGTAGTTGTATTAGAAGAACCTCTAGGATTGGACGAGTACACATCGAATATGTAATTTGATCCAGCCGTTAGTCCGTTGACAAGAAAATTTGGTGCATAAATTGAAGTCAAATTAAAGAGCAGCTTTTCCCTGCGATAGTCATAAACTTGTAAGTAAAATGTTTGATTGAGTCCACCATTATGTCCAGGGGTACATGAGACTGTCAATGATTCGCCAGTTTGATTACTGACAAGACACTCAGTCATACGCTCAGGGCGACCTAAAGTATAAAAGTACACAAGAATTTATATCATTAATTATCATCATTAGAATTATTAGAGTTTGAAATAAAAAGCTAAACCAAATCTTAAGCATGGAAAGAATCATCTGAATTTCGAAATATTTTTAGTCAGAATTTATTACTAGAGTGAAACATACCTGCAGGCATTACGATAAATTGACATGGATTATTAATGATTCCGATTTTATTACGAGCAGAACATATCAAAGTACCATAATCATCTAATCGTCTTGGTGAGTAAAGTAGATCACTTAAAAATAGAGATGATAATGAAGGTTTGGATGATGAAGATTCTGAGCTGGGATAAACTTTCTCAAGTTGAGTATCATTTATTTTCCAAATGATTTCAGTAACACCGGGCTCAGCTTCAATGGAACAGGAAACTCGAATAGTCTCACCTAAGCCAACGATATAAATCGATTTTTGATCTTTAACACAAACCGGAGAATCTGCAAATATACAAAACTAACGATCAATTTTTTTTTCAACCCAAAAAATGATTAAAAAAAGTTTCAAAAAAAGTATGGAAAAGTAAACACTAGTTAATCATATAACCAACATTGAACGTTTTCTCATAATATTAATAGTGATATTGTTCATTACAATTCAATATATTCATCACTTTTGAAACATTTACTGACCAAGACATGGGAATAGAAGTGAAAAATGTTGACTCAATGGTTTTCATCACCTCTTTGTTGATATGATTTAATATTTTCCACATAAATATCGGTAAAATCTATCATGAAAAATCATCATGAACCATTGGAATTTGAATAAATTCATTCATAGTGAGCTCATATATATTGATAGTGTGTAACAATTGTATCATTTTTCATTTGTAAGTAAACACAATTCTCACCTTGAAGTTTTCTTACATCATAAAGGCTTACATGACAATCATCAACTTTATTCAAAGTTTCATGCAACCATTTCCATTCAATAATATATAAGAATAATAATAATACGACCATGATAATAATATACTTGAAAATGATTCTGTAAACTTTGAAACGTTATGATAACTATGGTTTGCACTTTTTAGTTTGTTTTCAATTTCATGGGTAAAATTAGGTAACCATCGGTGTAGGAAAAAAACTGGGTGAATATTTATGAAGCCATTTTATTGACACACTGTGAAAATATGAGTAGATAACGCACCCAAATTCATGATTTCAGATAAGTTCATCTAAAGCTTCAAGAGGGAAAGAGTATCGTTGAAACAAATAAAACTATTCTTAGTGAAAGAAAAAAACAAAACCGAAAACGTGACAAAAGTTTTTGATGAGTTAAACTAAATGAAATGTAAAAAATGAGATTACTCATGATTATCTTCATGAAAAGTTCATATTTTTATCATCATCATCATCATCATGGTGATCATGGTTATCTTACATATATCTTATAAATTTATGTTACTATGACTTTAAGCCTTAAGTATGCAGAGAGTATGACTCTTGCCATGAGTTCAACGAAAGGTTGGATATTGAATGAACACCATGGATACATGAAGCTGATTAAAAATACAAACAAATTTAATCCAATCAGTTTATTGTTTGAATTTTAAGCAATAAAAACTGTAATCATAATAATGTCATCAGAACATTTAGTTTCCATGTTATCATTGTTTTAACCTTTATCTTCATGATGTATTTAAATCAAAATACAAAAAGCGAATTAGTATCACAAGGGAAAGTTTTATTATTGCCAAGAAAACCACATGAAGTACCATGAAAAGTTTTCATTGATGCTGAATCATTAATAGCTTATGAGTCATTATCTTAATCCTTGTCATGAATATTATCACTGTTATTATATATCTTATCAAATTTCATGTATTTATAACATTCGTAGCTAAATGATACAATGAACAGCCTTTCGTTAATGATAAACAATGTAAATTATAATGAGTAACATGATAATCTTTTTTTTTCACCAAGTGAATTGAGTATTCAATTTTCAGGGAATGAGGTTAAAGTTCAATACTGTGTCCATATCAGAGGTGACACTTTTCCTGAATGGGGTCGAGATCAATAACACATTCTTTGAATATGAACAAAGAATCTTTATTTTCCCTTTGAATCCAACAAATGCTTAAGATACATGATGAATTTACCCATTGATTTCATGCTGCAATTTCATGTTGACAGAATTGATGATTGATGCATCAATAAGTTCATTGTCTCTCACTGATTATTATCATGTGGCTATTTTATGGAAGAAGAGAAAAAAACAAAAACTGTTATCTCAAAATCTGAATATTTACCTGATGCCCTTAAGGTGATACACCAAATTCAATCTGTATCAATTTATTCATTATCTAACCTTTCAGTTCAATCATGATGTAAATTTACCCTAAAGGTTTATCAATGGTATCAATTCATGGTATTGATTTTATTCATTTTCCTCACCTTACCCTTCTACCGGTATTACTTTTTGTCAATGGAAAAAGCTCATCCAATAAATGACCTAAGGGTATTCTTAACTTATCAAAATACATACGAACAAAAAAAAGTTCAATCTCTGTTACACAACAGGTAACAACAAAAGCATACAATAGTTTACCGATATAACGATGAATGATCATGAATACCCTTAGAACTTTTATCTCCCATGTTAACTAATATCCACCTACGAAGTGTAAAACTTTGGACATTTGACCCTATTCATATTAATCACCATGAATTTTATTCTCATTGAGAAAGAAAGAAAGGAAGAAAGAAAGAAAGAAAGAAAGAAAGAAAGAAAGAAAGAAAGAAAGAAGAAAGAAGAAAGAAAGAAAGAGAGAGAGAGAGAGAGAGAGAGAGAGAGAGAGAGAGAGAGAGAGAGGAGATTCTTCAGGAAATTCTGATATAAATTGAAAACAACAGTCGAACAAAAAAATTCATAACAATCGGAAACGGAAATGATGAGACAATTAGTTATTCAGATAAATGACTGTAACTCATTAATAGTAATGTAAATTGAATAATTAGTTGTTTGTCGATTTGGTGATTGTATTATTATATTAGGTACAATTTTATCAGTATTACTAATTGCTAATGATTAAATTAATTCTCTATCTTTGTTTGATAAATAACTTGAATTCTATCTATTAATTGTTAAAACATAAAAAACAATTAGATTAAATAGTAAACATTAGAAGTGAATTTTTTTACTTCATCAATTGGATTCCTGAACTTTAATTGAATTAAATTTATGATAAAACAATTTCAAAGGTAGAATGTTAAATTCAATTAGTTAATCAACAGACACCACATCAGCCTACCCACTAATTATAATAATTAACATTTCCATATATTGAGAATACTTGAAATTATATTAAATATTAATGATAATTTCATTTTAATAATTATCATGATAATCAAGTGACGTTGGAAATTGGCAGAGGGAAATTTTAAACAATCGCATGTATGAATGAGAGAGAGAGAGAGAGAGAGAGATGATATTACAATTAGGTAAATGGATTGATATGGTTATCGAGTTAAGTTGGAAGTTGGAAAATGAGATCGTATTTTAATTAGTAGCATTTGTTTCATTGGGAATGAGAAAAATTATCATGAAAAGGGAGTTGAAACTTGATGGATCGTATTAATTGAAAGTCTGAAAGATGATTATTATTTACTTCAATTAAATTATTTTCTTTTCTCAATAATCATAATGATAATATTTTTCTTCAACATTTTCTTTGGATATTTTTTTATCCTTGCCACTTGGTTTTCGAGAAATTTAATTATCAACTCGAAATAGTTGTCTAATGATAATTAAATTTAGATTGTTGATAATTAACATATGATAATGGAGAAGCAGTTTTAATTGCTTATTCTATTTCTTCAATTATCAGTAATTTGTTGAGTCAACTGTTATTAACAGTACAATTTACATGATCATTAGCAATTGACTTTTTGCATTAACCATTAAATGGATGCAACCCTTTAAATTATTGTTGTTGTTTACTCCTTTTGTATATCAACAATATTAATCAAAGTCAAACTGAATGTTTCAAATGATTAGTTCATTGGTTGTTGATTGTGATTAGTTGAGGGAAGATGATAATAATCTTATAGATAGAGTCGATTACTATCAAAGACACTGAATAAAATTAATGATATTGTAAAAACACACAATTTGTTTCTCTTCACGAGTAACTTATCGAGTTTGGTGTTGGTGGAGAGAGAGAAAGAGAAGTTCTAATCTTTCCTCTTGTGAAAATTTATTCATTTGAAGTTTTTTTGGTTTTTTTTTGCTAACAATTGAATAGAACCACGAAAAATTCATTGAACCCATTTGATTGACTGATTGTTGATTAACTAACTGTGATGGTGAATTCAGAAGAGGAAAAAAACTCGAGTCATGTTGCAGATATTGAGTTTCGATTGCAATGATAATGTGATCTAATGAGATTGGAACTTTGACTTTATGGTGAAATAACTTTTAAAATATCAGGGAATTTGAGATTTACACTCTTTTCATTTGATTAGTTTTCAACTTCTATTACTGTTCTCTCTCAATATCGATTGAAAATTAACATGTAATTGACACACCGATGAAAACTGATTATTGTTTACACCTTTGTTTCAGTGTTTAACCATTTAAATGGTTTCAATTTGAGATGAATCCATGATGATCATCAAAGTGGAAACCAGAGATGAATCTGATCTTTTACATTCTCGATTCAATGATGAGTTAATCTTTCAACTAGATTATAATTTCAGGATAAAATGTTTGCGATTCAGGATTTTATGGCAATTTAATTGATTCACTTAATCAACTCGCATTTTCATGTATTTTTACAAAACTATTCACAGAACTTTTGTTAATTTGAAACTGTTAACTAAATTGAATGTATAGCTGAGACTAGAAATTTCCTTATTCTCTCAAAGTGGCCTCAAAAGTCCAATTCCCGACCAAAATTTTCACCAACTCTAAAAGCTCTCAATGATTAGATTTATGATAGACTGACACAACGATAGATTTTTTTTTCTCACTTGTAGTGATCGATACTTTTTTTATTACTATTCTTTTGTCGCTTCATCATCATCAGCATCATAGTGAAGGAAAAACATGATAACCACCAAATGAGAAAATGTTTCAGTGGAATGAATAACTCCAAACTAATGACAACTAGATATTTTTTTCCCCTTTAGCTCTTATTACATTTATCTAAATCAAGAAACTATTATCATTCCCTTCACCTCAACTAAATCATCGCCAACATCATCATCCACTTCACTCTATTCTATCCTCAAGCTTGGCTCCTTCTTCATCTTTATCTTTACCATTATCTTCATAATCTTTTACATGTCTTCATCTTCAATCCATGAAAAATGTATATCCACTGTAGTTTTATCTCATCTTCATTTTGTATCATGTTTTCCCTCCCTTCAATTCTTATAATAGATTTTCTCTCCTTCTCCATCTTCATCAGCATTGTTTTTTTCTTCTCCTT